AATAAAAATAAAAATAAAAAAAATCAACAAAAACACATTTCTTTTTCAACCCGGACAAAATTGAGTGTTGACACCGTGCTATAAGAAAGTTTTGAAAATTACCAGTTTTTGTAATAACCCGTGACACCCTGAAATTTGGAGCGTTATAGATGTACTTGCAGTTCTTCATAGATGATGGAACACTTTGCCTTTATTCTATTGTCTGTATTTAGCTTTTATACATATATTTATTATTCTTTTTATATATTGTTGGCTATCATGCTTTCTATATATATATATATATATATATATATATATATATATATATATATATATATATACTTGTAAAATATAATTAAAAAAAATTCTTATCTAAACCTTTATCCTACACTTGTTGTACCTATATTTACTCGTGTACATAGTATTGTCATTGTAAGTCACACCATAATAACACATGCAAGGGTAAACTATAAATTTTGATTTAAGAAAATATATATAAAAGAGACATTGCAATTATATATAAAATATAATTCAATTCTCTCAAAGTGAAAATATTAAAAAAAAATCATAAAAACTACACATGAATGTTATTCAAAAAAAATATTCAATAATCAGAATATAAACTAACAAATTTTCGAATACTCATATTAAGTATGTTATACTAAAGACTATCATCTTATCGAATCCAATACGTGCATTTAAAAGTGAATCCATGAATTATGAAATCAAGGTAAGTTCATCATTACCCAAACCACATATCTACACATATCATGTGAGAACTCCTCCCCCAACTTCTCTCCACCAAACTACAAAACCTTTGTTACAACATATGTGTAAGTTCTTAATCGACAAGTCAAACAATGAAATTGGATTTTATGATTTCGAAGAACATTTAAGCTTCCACTAGCAAAGTTTACATCTAAAACTATGGTGTATTCCAGTCTTTTGAACACTCTAAGTCATTTTCATGAATCCATAACCAAAACCTGGTAAGATATGGAAGTAAAACCAATCAAATCACATGTTTAAGATGAATTTGAACAAAGAGTGAATAACACAACATGAACGCATAATGATCACGTGTAAAAGTAAAAAATTAGTAAGAATGAGAGAAACTAATTTGTAGAAATAGAAAGAAACATGAATTAAAACTAAAATACCAAATGTAGATTACAAAGTCTTGGAGTTCTTGAACCTATCTCACTTTAAACCCCTGAGCTCCAAAAAACCAAAACTGGAGAAAACTAGAAAATTATAAAAATTGTTAGTGTGAAATTCTGTAGCACCTCTTTCTCTAAACTATATTGTAGTTAGCTATTCTCCTTCCTAAAACTGTAAAAACCTACTTAACTAACTCAAGTTAACTAGCTTGGTTGACTATACATGTGTGTGAGAAGATGCTTAATTGGGTCAGCTCGAACCCTTTCCAAGGTCATTCTAGGTTAGCATAAGTGTCAATTATTGTCCCTTAAGGCCTCCCACAACTGGCACAAGGTTAGAAGTGGAATTGTAAAAAGTCAACTCAAAAGTAACTCTATAACTTTGTCCCAAAATTGTCTCAACCTTGTTGCTTTGTTGTTGGTTTTCCTGCTCTTTTCTCTTCATCACACTTCAATCAACTCTTCTTTGTTGGACCAACACAAGTTACACAAGTTATTCAAACCAATTAAAAACACCTAGACTAAGCTAATTAACTAGACTACACTTAACTAAGAACTCAAAACAACCTTACTCCTAGTATTCTAATTAGTCTAAAGTATTATTACTAACTATGATCCTAATTAAGTAAAACTAATAATTATTAAACTAATGTTATGATACTAATATAAGAGTGAAGGAATCTACCTAAACTAGAAATCAGAACCTATTAACACCAATACTAGCTAACCAAGACTAAAGTCCTAAATTATACAAATGTAAAACTAAAATATTTAACTAATGACAACTTAGACACTACTAAAAAGTATGCTTAAACTTCTATATCTCACTAATTCTATAGAAAAAGACAAATTAGTACAATAAAAGAATCTAATCTAATACAAGCTAATTAACTAGAACAGGTACTAAAGAAGACAATATTAACTGATTAAAACACCACATAATATGTACTTAACAGTGACTTCCCAGTTTGATCACCTCTCCTCCAGCTTCTATCAACTATTGCATTCCACTAGTGCAATAAGAGGAAACGACAGCGGTTATTTTCGTCCTTTGGACGCGGTTCTTGAACCGAGGCATATACAGGCGAGGAAAAAAATCTAGACTTTTATGCCTCGGTTATGAACGGAGGCAAAAAGATGGATGATTTCACTTCGGTTCATTGTGAACCAATACAGTATGTCAACCTCTACTACCTCGGTTGGGACTTGAACCGAGGCAGTAGGGCCTTTTATTTTTCTTTTGTCAGTCTTTATTGACAAGGTTAAACAGGTCTCGAACATGGAAGAGGTCTCCAAAAGGAAAGAAGCAATTTAGAGTTAATCAACCTCAAGAAAGCAGTTGCGTTGATAGCTGAGTTGCTTAGTTTGCTCCTATGCCAGAAATTCTACTCAAATTCTTGAAATGATTCCACAAGAAAATCCAGTCAAATTCTCTTTCACAGAAATATCCAATAGCAAGAAATACCTTCATTGTTCTTGTCATCTTCATCTGTGATGAATGTTTTTGCATCACCAATAGATGAAACCCCGTTCAAATCCCTAACCCCCAAATCCAGTCAAAACCCCGTTCAAATCCTTAACCCCCAATCGGATGACCAACAACCCCAAACCTCCTCCAACAGTCGCGAAGTCCCCAAACCTGCACCAATAGTGGCGAAGTCACTAAAGAGTGAAACTCCCTTGCGCCGCGGAGACGCTTTGCCGTGATCACGGTGCCTCCAAATCGCTTCCCCTCCATGCGTGAACGAACCAGGAATAAGGAAGGAAAGGACGCCTCCTTGCTCAACGACGAGCCTCCACCCGAAATGTCGTTGTTGCCTCCTCGTGCCACCAGCATTCGCAAATTCGAACTAGGATGAAGGAGAAGAAGAAGAAAACCCCATAAGCGAGAAAGGAATCATCCTCACAATAACCTGCAAAAAAGGCAAGAAGCGAGAAAGGGAAGTCAGATCGAAAAGAGTAATAGGTGAAAGCAACCTTGATGCCGGAATCAGAGGATGCGGGGAGGGAATTGTCGGTTAGGGCATCAGCAGCCATGGTGAGCTTTCGCTTGAGAGGGTTGGAAGCGGGGGGTCTAGGAGGCAAGGTACTCTTGAACTTAGCGGGGGAAGGAACGATGAGATTGGGATCGGAGGGAGGGTCATTTTCTTTGGGCGGGTTTTGGCGGAGCTAGGAGAGGCGGCTGTGGTGGCCGTAGTAGCGAGTGGAATAAGAATGAAGTGCTTCATTTTGGGGCAGAGAGGAGAACGAAATGGGGAAAGAAGCGTGTGGAAGAAGAGTTCATTTTGGGGCAGAGAGGAGAATGAAATGGAGGAAGTGCACAGCCCTTAGCTCGAGAGAAGTGGAGGCACCGTCGAGTCATTGGAGAAATAACCGGAGGCAGCGATAGCGACGGCAGGGAGCACCAGCGGAGATGAAGAAAGTGCGAGAGAGAAAAGACGAAACTGCAAGGAAGATAGACAGTGAAATCTGAATATGAACCTACGAAAGAACAACCAAAGCAATATCAAACTACGACCTCGCTTATTCAAAGACCCGAAGCTTATAGTGGAAGCAGAAACACAAAAAACAAGTTTATATGCCTCGGTTCTTCAGATAACCGAGGCCTCAAAGCCTTTTGACTTCGGTTCCAAAGCAACCCGCGGTTGTTTCTCCTGGTCAGAACGCTCAAAAGGGGTTGCTGACTTGACTGACTTGATGTGTTGCAGGTGTTTTGCAGGTGAGTCAGGTGTTTCTGCTTCGGTTCTTTTAGAACCCGAGGCAGTATCACCTTTTCACACAGTTTTCTAACCGTTTTAGACGAAAAGGTGGCATGGTAGGTGATGTTTAGGCACCGGTTCCCTGTGCAACCGAAGTTGTATCAGCGTTATGCACCGGTTCTGTATGAATCGAGGCCTATAAGGTCTCCATAATTGCGGATTTGCCACCGCGTTTGGATATACACCGATTTGGTTTAGACAGATGTCTATTGTGCGAGTTTAAAGACACATTTTGTACTAGTATTCCTATCCACCAGTGTTCAATCTCCTTATCGGCAGAAATGATGCGAACACCAACTTCCTATCCGTAGGATAAGTGATATTTATGAAGATCTTCTCATTCTCACAACTCCGAGAATCAACATAGTCTGGAGTTTTTTTTTTTATTATTGAGCTTAGTAGGATTATGGTGCATAAAATCAGCCAATTTGAATTTAGTGACATTTTAGAATAAGTTTGACCCACTCTGATAAAGTCCACTTTTAACTTTCAGCTGTTAAAACCCAGTTTTCTTGTAGTGTTTCTTATTTCTTTAGACTAAGATTAAATTAATACTTTAACACCAAATTTATGATTAAACAAAGTATACAATGGTTTGAGTTTGAATTCCAAGATTAGAAAAAAGTATTTAACATAATTATATATTAAGATAAAAATAAATAAATTATGTTTTGACAATCTCTCACAACTCACTTTTAAAAATAATATAATCATTAATAAAAATGAAATTTTATATTTATAAGAAAAAAATAGATAATAAAGAGTAAAATAACATATACAGAGTGGATAATGCCAAAAACCTCATTTTCTATTAAATTTTATATTTTTTCTTTTATCTTAAAAGTATAGGAAAATTGAAAAGTGTTTATACAAGTTGTTCCTAAAAAGAGATAAATAGTGAACTGTCACCCATGTGTCAAATCTCACTCTAATCTAATTGTTCCTGTTAACATGAGAACTTGTTCTACCAACTCATGTCACAAACATGATCTACCAAACTTTTTCCACTCAACTAAAATGCAGTCTATTCTCTTAATTCATTCATACCATTACCAATATCATATTAGTATTCACGTTTCACTTCTTAGTTTGGAAAAGAAACATGGTTTCTGCAGATATTGTTCGAACAGTGGTTGGCATCATAGGTATGTGCGAGGAACTCAACTTGATCACTTTCTGAACTTCATTTTATAAGCAAAAATATAGAACACTAATATATCATGTATGTGATTTAACTTTCTCATTTTTTCCCGCAATCAGGAAACATCATTTCGGGGTGCCTTTTCTTGTCTCCAGTGTAAACTAATCTATCCCTTTGTCTCCCTCAGATTTGTGTGTTTAGGTGGCCATGGATTTGAGTAACACGTTATGATATTGCAGGCCAACATTTCTGGAGATACGGAAAAAGGGATCAGTGGAGGAGTACTCAGCAGTGCCATACATGGCCACACTGATGAACTGCATGGTTTGGACTTTGTATGGCCTACCAATGGTGCACCCTCACAGCTTGCTGGTAGTGAGCATCAATGGTGGAGGATGCGTGATTGAGATGATCTATATCACCCTGTTCTTCTTCTATTCTAATCGCACCAAGAGGCTCACCCTCTTCCTTTGCCTCTTCTTGCAACTCCTCTTCCTCACGCTTCTCTCCATTCTCACCTTCACTACCATTCATGATGTCGAAAAACGTTCTGCTGTTGTTGGAACCGTCTGCGTCATCTTCAACGTTGCCATGTACGCTTCGCCCTTGTCTGTCATGGTCACGCATCCTTTCTCAACACTTTTCTTTCCTTGTTCTTAGCTTCAAAGTCTGCATGTGTTAACAAGTTAATGTGTAATGGGGTTGCAGAAACTGGTGATGAGGACCAAAAGCGTTAAGTACATGCCATTTTCCCTCTCTCTAGCGTCCTTTGGCAATGGTGTGTCTTGGACTGCATATTCTCTCATCCCTTTTGATCCTTTCATGGCTGTAAGTTTAAATAAAATCACTAACAAACCCTTTTCCTTCCTTTCATGCATTTCTTCATCTTCCCTCTACACATTCAATACATCATTTAACTTAACCCGTTGTTGTGTTGTGTAAATAATATTCAGATACCAAATGGGATCGGGACAACATTTTCTGTGGCACAACTAATTCTGTACGCAACCTATTACAACTCCACTAAGAGGCAGATAGAAGGAAGGAATGCCAAAGGGGTAGGAGAGGTGAATCTCTCAGAGGTGGTGGTCGGTAACAATGATCAAGATCCTAACAATATCAACGGGATTTATGTTTTTCCCGATGGTTTTTAATTTCAGCTTCATCCATGTTGCCTAATGATTCATGGTCATGCATATGGATGTACTCTTTTACCAACTGAAGCTCGGTCTTATCATTAGATATAGTCACCTTATAATATATAATTTTCAACCTCAAAATTTTCAATTCTCTTCCTANTTTTTTCTTTTATCTTAAAAGTATAGGAAAATTGAAAAGTGTTTATACAAGTTGTTCCTAAAAAGAGATAAATAGTGAACTGTCACCCATGTGTCAAATCTCACTCTAATCTAATTGTTCCTGTTAACATGAGAACTTGTTCTACCAACTCATGTCACAAACATGATCTACCAAACTTTTTCCACTCAACTAAAATGCAGTCTATTCTCTTAATTCATTCATACCATTACCAATATCATATTAGTATTCACGTTTCACTTCTTAGTTTGGAAAAGAAACATGGTTTCTGCAGATATTGTTCGAACAGTGGTTGGCATCATAGGTATGTGCGAGGAACTCAACTTGATCACTTTCTGAACTTCATTTTATAAGCAAAAATATAGAACACTAATATATCATGTATGTGATTTAACTTTCTCATTTTTTCCCGCAATCAGGAAACATCATTTCGGGGTGCCTTTTCTTGTCTCCAGTGTAAACTAATCTATCCCTTTGTCTCCCTCAGATTTGTGTGTTTAGGTGGCCATGGATTTGAGTAACACGTTATGATATTGCAGGCCAACATTTCTGGAGATACGGAAAAAGGGATCAGTGGAGGAGTACTCAGCAGTGCCATACATGGCCACACTGATGAACTGCATGGTTTGGACTTTGTATGGCCTACCAATGGTGCACCCTCACAGCTTGCTGGTAGTGAGCATCAATGGTGGAGGATGCGTGATTGAGATGATCTATATCACCCTGTTCTTCTTCTATTCTAATCGCACCAAGAGGCTCACCCTCTTCCTTTGCCTCTTCTTGCAACTCCTCTTCCTCACGCTTCTCTCCATTCTCACCTTCACTACCATTCATGATGTCGAAAAACGTTCTGCTGTTGTTGGAACCGTCTGCGTCATCTTCAACGTTGCCATGTACGCTTCGCCCTTGTCTGTCATGGTCACGCATCCTTTCTCAACACTTTTCTTTCCTTGTTCTTAGCTTCAAAGTCTGCATGTGTTAACAAGTTAATGTGTAATGGGGTTGCAGAAACTGGTGATGAGGACCAAAAGCGTTAAGTACATGCCATTTTCCCTCTCTCTAGCGTCCTTTGGCAATGGTGTGTCTTGGACTGCATATTCTCTCATCCCTTTTGATCCTTTCATGGCTGTAAGTTTAAATAAAATCACTAACAAACCCTTTTCCTTCCTTTCATGCATTTCTTCATCTTCCCTCTACACATTCAATACATCATTTAACTTAACCCGTTGTTGTGTTGTGTAAATAATATTCAGATACCAAATGGGATCGGGACAACATTTTCTGTGGCACAACTAATTCTGTACGCAACCTATTACAACTCCACTAAGAGGCAGATAGAAGGAAGGAATGCCAAAGGGGTAGGAGAGGTGAATCTCTCAGAGGTGGTGGTCGGTAACAATGATCAAGATCCTAACAATATCAACGGGATTTATGTTTTTCCCGATGGTTTTTAATTTCAGCTTCATCCATGTTGCCTAATGATTCATGGTCATGCATATGGATGTACTCTTTTACCAACTGAAGCTCGGTCTTATCATTAGATATAGTCACCTTATAATATATAATTTTCAACCTCAAAATTTTCAATTCTCTTCCTAATTTTCAATTAGATTGTTACCATTTCACATTACAAATTTACAGAACACTGGTGTAGAAAAAAAAAATTAAAAATGTAAAGTCTAAGTTATTGATATTTGTTGTAACTTGGAGAGATCCAAAATTAGCCTAAAATCTACTAGGCGATCTTTCCAACTTTATCTATTATATATTTTTTTTAAAAGATTACAAGCAAACATAAGAAAGAATTTTCATAGAATTTGTTAATAGGCAAAAAAAAGTTTTTAAACAACTAATTCACCTTTTATTGATTTGTGACCTAGCCATATTTTGTTTAGGATGTGCATGAAATATTGGAGAAAGCGGAGGTTGGCAGTCCAATACAAAAAGTGAACAAACTTATTGTACTAACTCCTCTTTACTTTCTTTTACTTGTTTTTGGATTAAGCGAAAATTCTCACATCAATGTGTTTCTTCCTTTTATACACTAGGTTCTTTGTTATCACAGTGGTTGACTTGTTCTATATTTTTTTTCAATGGCCTAGTTGTTATTAATCATGTTCATGTCAATAAGTCGAACTCTTCTAGAGAGATAAGACAATTATGATGCCTACTTCACACCAATCTTCTCATCGATTACAAGTTGTCACAACTCATCTTGCACTTTCAGTGTAATTCTAAGATTTTTATCAACTTGCAACCCTTTCTTTAATCTTGAAACATTTTGTTTAAGTTCCAAGCGCCACTTATACAAGTCATGCTTCTTTATCTCTAAGTTTACTTATCACTGGTGGAAAATAAGGTTTCCATGACGGCTTACTATGACAGGTGAAATCGACCTGTCATAATACATTGAACAGTAACATTTTCGTAATAAAATTCAAAGATATTATGACGTACTTTAGATCATAATAAATGTAGCAGTGACATTTTCGTAATAAAAGTAACATGTATTATGATAGGTAAAAACCACCTATCATAGTAAGTTAGGCGCGGTGGCATAATTGATATTCATTATGATCAGAACATATTATAATAGGTTTTAGAAGACCTATCATAATAAGACTCTACTATAATTATTGATTCCTTACCATTCATAGTAGGTGTAAATCCCTAATTCTAGTTTTCTTTTTTCAGTTCATTTGAAGGTTTCAGTTCATTTTCAAAGCACCTCTCTTTTCTTTGTTTTCACACATTCCTATGAGCCATTACCTCCATGCTGTCGATGTCATCGCCTCTATGTTGTCGACGCCATCGCTTTCTCACTTCCTCAACACTATTCCATCGTCATCTCCCATACGTCGTGGACGAAAATCCCATGTTTATGAAAATACCAAGATTCGAGTTCCGTAAGTGAAAATGGGAAAAAGGCAATCCTTATGCAACAAAGCACCCCACTTTGTTTTTGTCCTTCTCAACCGCATTTCAAACTCCGACACTCCCAAACCCTTCTCCAAGCACCCTCCTCCCACTTCAACACCAACACCTCCTTCTGTAATTTTTCTCTCTTTCTTCATACCTGTTGTCTTCATGTCTCATCTCTCAACATTTTTTTGTATTTACCTAATTAAGTTTTATTCTTATCCTTAGGATGTCCTCTAATTTTGATTTGTTTTTTCTCCTTTTTTTTAATGTAAGCTTCTTCGTGTTTGCTTCAAAGTAAAGTTTAGGTGTGCCTTTTGTTTCGCCTTAGCGAGAAGTAGGTAGATTAGAGAATGGTGAAGAGGTTAACCGTGGTTTAGCTTATGGGCCTAATATTTCATCCTCCACTACATTTCCTAGATTTTGTCCTAGCCGTATCTATTTAGGGACTTCCTGATCCTAATTAATTCCTAGAATATTCTGTCTAGAAAATTAATATCCTATGTATTTTCTCTATCCTAATGGTTCACTATGGGTGTTATGTCAATCAGATGTTCCTACATTGTTTGGAGAGTTTCAACATAGTTCTCCAATTTAAATGTAGTATGCTATACATATATTCCTTCATACATTAAATTCTCTATGAATCCTAATAGAATGATAACATGTGCATCCATTATAACATATTTAACATGTTTATAGGAAGTTATAATATTTTATGAGGTAATTTAATGTTGAGAGAAGGAATGAAGCTCATACCTATTTCTCCATAGCTTAGTTCGGATCTTCTTCTGCAGCTTGTAGAGATAGCTTCCCATCTTGATTTCTCTACCGCGAGCTTGTGTGGTTGACTTTTGTTCTATATAGTTTCTCTAATTTCTTCGATGGATCACCTTGCTTATTTTTCCTTATGTTTCCTAGATAAGTGTTGGTGGACTTATGACTTTTGTGCTCTTCCTTCAATGTTCTCCGTGGACTTATCCAAGTCTCTTCTTGCCCTTATAAGCATTAACTCATATGTTTGCTTTTCAGACTCGTGAGCTTTGGTGGTTGATCCAGATATCTACTTTATCCACGAATTAAAGATACATTCCTTTATATCTTCAATATTCCTAAAGATAGAGATCTCCTTAATGAGCATTCTTTTAAATAAAAAAAGGAAGAATGATTCTTTGTTAGAGCCTACTTCTTTAACAACCATAAGCCACCCTTCGGGATTGAAAAGAAATGCTCATTTTTACTGCCTTATCTTGACTCCCGTATATCATGTTCCTTAGGGATCTTTTAGACCTTGATCCACAAGCCCTTGAACTATTGCCTCGAGTTCTATTAAGAACTAGCTCATTGAGGAGGGCTTTGATACCAATTAAAGGTGTGAGGAAACACTAAAAGGGGAGAGGGGTTGAATAATGTTTCCATAACTTTTTGCAACTTGCAATCTGATCATGATGTATGTAACACTTATGAGTTGGTAAGCTTGGTTAGTAAACGTTGTCCTAGAGAGATCGTTTACTTGGCCAACTCAGCATATCCAAATTTGAACGTAGGTAATAACCTTAAGTGGCATAAAGCATATTATCAAAGAGAGAACATAGGAGAAGTTAACAAACTACATCATTTATTGACAGATAAAAACACAAAATGTTTTATACTGGTTCATCTGTTAAGGCTACGTCCAATTCTCCTCTAACTTAACTTAGAGGGTTCCATTATATATTCAATGAAGTACAATTGAGTTTAACTCACTCGTAAGTGCATATTATTATTCACCACTCCTGGTATCCCTTAACGCTCTCAGTACCTTTGAGAAACTACATCTAGTTTAGTTTCCCCCACTTCTGGTCGTGTAGTATTATTCACCACTCTTGGTATCCTTGATTAGCGAATAACCTCTAGTTACCCTCAGTTAGTATTCACACCACTCCTGGTACTCAATAACCCGCCTAGATTTCCTTAAGTATTCGCATCACTTCTAGTACTCATCAACTCGTTGAGATTTCCTTAAGTATTTGCACTACTCTTGGTACTTAGCAACCTGTTGAGATTTCCTTGAGTATTCTCACCACTCCTAGTACTAGACGATCTCGTCTAGATTTCCTTAACCTTTCAGAGTTAAGTTATAAGTGTTTGAATTCTCTCTAGAATTGCAATCATAGATTGCTTACAAGTCGTTCGGACCATAACTCTCACAAAAAGGATTTGATTACAATACAAAATAGTTTAAGCACTCGCAGGTGTTTCTCTCATCTTTCTTTTTCTCTCACCTTACACAAGTAAGCATTTAATACAATGAATTACTAGAGGGATGATGTCAGTCTTAGGATGATGTCAGGAGATTTGTTCCCTTCTGGATATTTGTGTAGGTGTCAGTCATAGGATGATGTCTTTTATCAGAATGTGTGTGCTTTTCAGGGATTTTATCAAAAAGTGATCTTGACTTTTCTTTTGGCACAACTTTTGATAATCTGATCATTGTTTTATTTAAGGCTTAAATGCTTACTTAGTCCCCATGTTAATAGCTAAATTTCTGTTTAATACCCGGTTTTAAAAATGAAGACATTAGGTCCTTATGTTATGAAAAGTGTATGACTTTAGTCCTGCCCGTTAAGTTGGTGGTAACGGTGTTAACTCCGCGCTAACGTGACTACACTTCTTTCCTCTCTCCTCAGCTCTTCCTGACACCTTATGCTTTTTGTATATTAATGATTTTCATGATTTCTCTCTCACCAAACCTTTCTCTACAACCCCACCAGACCCTAGTCTTGATTCCAAACCTTCTTCCCTCTCCGCCTATCTCAGCTTCGTCTTCGATCAGAGAAATAGTGTTCTCATAAGCAAGAAATTCTTCAACGCATTGGAGCCTTGTGCCAATCCAAGGTTGCTCCCCCTCAAAACGTCAACCAACCTGAGCCGCCGCTCTCCCTTGACGATGAAACCCCCTGGAGCCGCCGCCGAAGAAGGTAGTGGAGTTGGTGAACCCATGGCCCGTGTGGATCCAGTTGATGGAAATGCTCGTGCACCAGAATTACTTTGATATTTTCCCTTGAAACTGGAAACACACAAGACTGGAGAAGTGGTATTATCAATGAGGCTAGAACGATGAAACCAACACTGGTGTTGAAATGTGTGCAATATAGCTCTAAGTCCTGGGTGTTGGAATGGGCGAGTTTAGGGTTTAACACCGAAACTGTATCCATTGTGAAAGTCATCGTGAATGGAAGGCTAAGAGAGGGAAAGGGAAAGATGGTGGAGCTAAAGAGAAGCGAAGGCTAAGAGGAAGAGGAAGCTGTGAAGAAAGCAATGGGATTTATAGTAATGGTAGGAATTGTTCTACTATCTTCGTACTCGCCTTCTTAATTCCGTTTCCATATTTTTACTTCAAAAGGTAGGAATAAATTAATTAACCTACTTTTTAAAATATATTATTAATTTATCATTAGAATATGGAAAACTATATTTAGGCTTTAAAATCAAGCTTGCTACACGTTTTACTTCTTAATCTCCAATTTATATCTAATTATTTGTAAATTTGTATTTCATGTTAATTATTTTAATCTCAAATATTTATTAACTATTGTCTATATTTTATTTCATTTTTCGGAAATTTTTCATTCTTCTCCTAACTTAATCTTTAAAATTACATAAATTATTTTATATTTTGTTTTTATAAATAAGAGGTGTATTTTTTTTCCACCGAGTTTATCCATATTTAATCAGCGATTGCACTTGTGAAGGTTGAAGTGTAAGTAGTCTGTGGTGCAAGAATATGATTCTAAAAGCCTTGTTTATTACACACTATGCCTTTTGCTTCACAACAAAACAAAAGAACCAATGCCCAAATGAGAAGGTGTCAGGAATAGCAGAGGAGAGAGAAAAGAAGTGTAGCCACGTTAGCGCGGAGTTAACACCGTTACCACCAACTTAACTGACAGGACTAAAGTCATACATTTTTCATAACATAGGGACCTAATGTCTTCATTTTTAAAACCGGGTATTAAACATAAATTCAGCTATTAACATGGGGACTAAGTAAGCTTTTAAGCCTTTATTTAACTATTATTATGTGGAATATATCATAAATAAATATTTATAAAATAATACACACATTTCTATAAGTATCAAGTAATTCATTATCACTATAAACAAAATTTCTAGAGGAACTTACTTATCTTTCCGATATATTGTCGTTTGCCATTAAATAGATATTTGCCAAGTGTTGTATAAAGACTTTATCGTTGGACAAAGTATTGTTTAAGAACACTTCTTTCGTATTTGTCTCTTCTTAAATAGATAACATTTAGCTTGTTTCAAGCTTTCTTTTATTTTAATATTGGTTTAATAGCCTCTTTGGTCCCCACTTTCGTTGGATAATGTCAATTCAGTCCCCATTTTTAAAAGTGTTTGGAATATGTCCATAGTTAGTAAAATTTGCGTCAAATTTGTCCCTTCCGTTAACTATGACCAAACAGAGTTAATGCGTTGATGATATGACACTAGTTATTGGCAACATGTCAGTATATCAGTTTATGTGTGCTGACGTGTTACTTACTAACATAAGATATGGTGTTTTATTAAGATAGGGTTTTTTATTTTGGGGAAAATTTAATTTAGGGCATAGATAGAACCAATTCTTCTTCTCCTTTTTGTTGCGCACACGGTACAGTGATGGGTCTTCTTCTCCTTTCTTTTGTTGTTCTTTACGGTTTGGATGTTAGCGTTGTTTGTTGGTAGTAGGGTGGTGGTTCATCTTTGGCGATATGGTGTTCCCTCGTTCGCAATTGCTTAGCGAAGTGGTTCGTGGTTCGTGTTTGTCCCGTTTTGGGGTTGGCTTTGAAGTGTCAATGTCTTTGAATCAAGGATGTTCGTCTTGCTCATGGGTGAGCTCTCGTGGTGGTACATCCAGGGGATTCGTTGGAAGCCAAATATGCCATTGTGGGGAGGTTGTTGTGTTGAGAGTGGCAAAAACAATTAAGAATGAGGAGAAGAAATTCTGGGGCTACCCTAATTACAAGGTTTGGAGTTTAATTTTTGTGATAAAAGTCCATGATGTGTTCATGATGTTTAAAAGTCCATGATGTGTTCTAGTAGTTAGTTATTTTGAAGAACACCTTATTGTAATATGATGTTTTGAAATCAATGAGAAATGTGAATTTGTGCATCTGGTATTGTTGTTTGAATATACACTTTGTCTGATATATACAACATAAGCTAATTGAACTTTAGATTGAAATGATAATAAAATGAGAAAGTGGTGTGTCATCCTCATTGTAACTGACAAAAAAAATTGAGTAAGTGGTTTAAGCACAATCATTGTAACTGAAATGAGATTTGAAAAGCAAAGAGGAAAATTAGGTGTAGTAAATTTGTGGGTTCTGAATGTGCATTGGACGAGTATTATGTGCAGTAAATTTGTAAGAAGTGCATTTATACATTTTGACCACATAAGATTATTGTAATCACGTGATGTAAGTGTCCCCTGCATTGTCAAAGATGAGTACCTGTAACATGAGTATACATCACAACAAAGAAGCATATTCCTGTCATCACAATATACATTACAACTAATTTATACTGGACATGCACATGAAATGTACATAAATGATAATGACATTATAATCACAAAATCGAAAATCAAATGCACATCCAAAAGACAAACTATCATTGAATTATAATCACAGTATAATCATCCAAATACATATCGCAGCTTACAAAATACCCAATTCAAAATGAAGTTCAAACTACATGACTATGTTTACAAAGAATCCAATATTGGGTTGTAACATACTTAAGCTAAACTTGTCAATACTGTGATGTCAATGTTCAAAATACATGTGAATGTTCTAAATAACTTCTAAAGTCCTGTTATAGATGGCTGTGTTTGTTCAAATCCACATTGAGTAAGCTGGCTTGGTCCTGTAGTTGGCTGAGTTTCAGGTTGTTGAGTTGGTCCTGTAGTTGGCTGGGTTTCAGGTTGTTAACTTGGTCCTATAGTTGGCTCGATTTCAGGTTGCTGACTTGATTGAGATTGCTTTGTTGGAGGACGTTGTGGGAAAGTATTTTCTTATATGACCAAGCTATCTACACATGGAACCTCTCTTATGAGTTCCATTTTGATTTAGTTGTGTGTCATCCTTCTTTAGCTCCCAAGCCTCTAGCCTTCTCTTCTTTTTTGGTCTACCAGGTAACACCCTTTTAGGTGGAGGCAAGACATCAGGCTGAGAAGTCATTTCCCATAGGTGATGACCATTGACAGGGTATATTATTGTAATATATGTTTCTTGGTATGTTGACCTTCTAAACCAATTTGGGACGTAGTCTTCTCCATTGATGTTCAAACAATTCATGTCAACTAGTGCATGATAGCATGGGATTCCTGTTAAAGTCCACTTTCTGCAACTGCATTCGACTTTATCTATGTCAACAACATACTTCTCATCAATCATTGAAGTGTGTCGCACCTCAAAAATTTTATGTCCTGACCAACTGCAATGATAAGCAATTTAAATCATTATTTAAAGTAAAAAATTTAAAACATCATAATGAAGTCCAGATTCTGATGTAGTGATGTGCACATACCTAGGTATCCAAAATTTAGTCATGTGTAATTCCTTTCCAAATCTTTTTTTAATCTTCTGGCAAAGAAAACCTTCAAATGTAGTTATTTTCTGTCTATTTGTTGCTCATCTCTTCATGAGATACATACGAATATCTTCCATCATTGTGATGACGAGCTTACGTCTGGCATGTAATATGACACTGTTGAAAACTTCAGACATATTATTGACTAAGGTGTCACAAACAACTTTACCCGTAAACCTTGAACGTGACCAAAATCTAATTAAACAAATAAGAAGTGAAATATATCAACTAGGAAAACAAACATAAGTAAATATGAAGAATGGATTTAAATATGACATACCTTAGTGGAATTGCTAGCAAGTATTTAAAGGCATCTGGATTGACATCTTTAATTTCTCTCATCACTGCCTCCCATGCTGGAGGGTGTGTTGATGATGCTGCATTCCATAATAGACGTTTTATAATTTGGTCAGGAAATCTCTTCCTAAAATTAGCATAAACGTGACGCACACAAAATCTTTGTTCCACACAAGATAGAAGTTCATGTAATGCTGGCAAAAGTCCCTATCAAAGTAAAAACATGAAGTTATACAAGTTATAATACAAGACATGAAGGTTTCACAAAGATATAAAAAAAAGCAATAGGCTACGTTACTCACTTTTTGTTGATTTGACATATATGTGATTGTTGAAGAAAGCTCCACACCACCAAGATCATCAATGAGTAATTGTAAAAACCAAAGCCAATTGTCCTTATTCTCCACCTTAACAACAACATATGCCAAAGGACACATTTTCTCATTCTCATCTCTTACAACTGCAGTTAACAACTCACCTCCATATTTTCCTTTTAAGAAACAACCATCTAAACTTATAATAGGCCTACAAGACACGGAGCTTTCCTTAAAGGCCTTGAAGCACACATATATTCTCTTGAATATTGGATTGTCCGCATTAGGTTCAACCTTAACTTTGACAGTTGAACCAGGATTAGACCGAAGCAACTCATTTGCATAGTCATAGAGTCTTTTATATTGTTCTTTAAAATCACCTTCTATTTGTTTAAAACCCATTGCTTTTACCCTACACGTTGTAGACTGAGAAACATCAATGTTCCACTTCTTAGAAACTTTGTTTTGGAGGTTATAAAGATTAATATTGAGATTCTCTTTTATGGTCTTCTCTAACCTCCCACTCAACCATTTTGAAGTCATTAAACGTATGTTAAATTCCCTACTGCATGTGTGCTTGTTTATAATCTTCCTTAGCTGCCATGTATTTTCAGCTGCCTTATATGCACCATATGCATACCATGGACATTTTCCTTTTGCCCCAGAACATCTGACACACACTCTTCTTTTGTCATTTTTATAAACTTTTAATTTCCTTCCATTCTCTACTTCATACGTTCTTATAGCTTCTGTAAAATCTCTTTTCTCAGGGAAATGCGTGCCCACTTCCCATTTATATTGTTCCATACTTTTGGGCATTGAAAAAATCCCAAAATCCCCATAACCATCTCTATCATCATTTGTGTTGTCACTTTCAACAACACTGTTCAAACTATCATTCCCAATCACTTTCTGATAAACCCCTAGGTCCACCAATTTCTACTTGGTTAGTAGCTTCAAATATATCACATTCCACTTCGTCTCCCTCGTTAGTGAAGACATCCTCTTCAGACCCATTCCAACTTCTAACATCATACTCATAAGCTTGTACATCAGCCTGACCCTGTCCCTCCACACCATTACCCTCTACCTCAACCACTCCCTCTTCCTAAACTTGTACCTAAGGCTCTACATTAGCCACTGCCTCTGCCTCAATTTCTACCTCACCTTCTACTACAACATCTACATCAGCCACTGCCTCTGCCTCAACTTCTACCTCACCTTCTACCACAACATCTACATCAGGCACTGCCTCAACTTCAACTTCTACCTCAACTTCTACTTCTACTTCAGCCTCTACCTTAGGCTCTACATCACCTACTGCCTGAACCTCATCTTCACCAACCTCTAGCTCAACTTGCTTTTCAACACTTTCTCTCTCTTTCAACTTCTGTTTCACCACTAGGTCTCTCAATTTCTGGTTGACAAGAGTATTCCAAGTCCAGAAGATATTGAGGCTAACACACCATGTGTATAACATAAAGGTGAGTTTGACCATTCAACATAGCAATATTGACTATATGACATGCACCTTTGTCATTTGATAACAGTTCTAAACAATCTTCTAACATATGACCACGACCCAATGAATAGCACAACTCCTTTACATTCCTATAACCCATCTCCTTAGAATGCTTAATATTTCAAAATAACTCCATCGATCTGGATTAATTTTTAATGTTGTGGTTTGACCATAGTGGTATCTGAATGTCCCATTATTTTCAAATTTCTCCTTCATGGTGAAACACAATTTCAACGTATGAGTCGGCCATCTAAACTAATATCAAAATTATTTACAGTTATATATACTTAACCCAAATGTTACCTACCCAAAAAACAAGTAAAACAAAGCAAAAGCACAATTACGAGAATAAAAAAATGTTGTCCACACAGCATCAGGGGGGACCACAACCACAATGGTGCAGCACTGTTCAAAGCACATGCACACAGATAATGGCGGACAATAAACAGACAAAGCATACACAAATCAAAACTTATGGGGGGACCACAATGACAACAATCAAACATAAAACACGCTTTTTGAATCAAACACATATCAAAGCTACCATAAACGAACCTTCGAATCGCGCTTTTCGTGATACCCACAAACACGATTTATGGAAATGCGCGTCCAAATCCAACGTAGAAGTGCGACAACGATCTATGTGTTCGCAATGTAGGTGAAGTGCGACAACGACTCTATCTTCTAATCTCGCAGAAATCAACCCTAAATCATATTTTCCTCAAATTAAAAAACCCTATCTTAATCTTAATGAAACCCCAAATTAAAACACCCTAACTTAAAAATTAACACGTCAACACGGACAAACTGATATATTGACACGTTGCCAATAACTGGTGCCATATCATCAACACATTAACTCTGTTTGGTCATACTTAACGGAAGGGACAAATTTGATGCAAATTTTACTAACTGCAGACATATTCCAAACACTTTTAAAAATGGGGATTGAATTGACATTATCCAACGAAAGTGGGGACCAAATAAGCTATTAAACCTTTAATATTTAAATCTTTTAGTTTGTTTTGTTAGTACCATCGTCTTGACTTGTTTTTATTTTGAGAGCTAGCCTACATACCTTTTTCAGGTATCATACACATCAAGTGTTTTGTTCCAACTCTCTAAGACGCTTTAGGCATAATAGCATTTAGCCGTGCGTCTGGATATTTTTACGTAGAAGCAACTCTTTTAGACACTTTAGGCACAGCATCGTTTAACCGTGTGTCTGGGTGTTTTGACATAGAAGTTTTTCTATTTCCTAAGAACCTAAGTGTTTTTCTAAGCTTTTCTATGTGGAGAATTTAGGTTCTAAGTTTTGTGTAGGTTTTCTATGTTGAGAGTTCAAGTTCTTAGTCTTGTGTTTTTACCCTAAGTTCCTTAGTGTAGTTTTAGCTTTGACTTTTCTTAGACGGTTATCTTCATCTTTTCTTCTTGGTAAGTTTGGAAATGTTACTTCCAACTTATGGTTTTTGCCTTAGTATTTTAAATGCTTATTATTATTACTATTATTATTATTATTATTATTTTTATTATTATTATTATTATTATTATTATTATTATTATTATTATTATTATTGTGAGGTTGTGATTTTCAATAGACCTTCTTGACTTATGGTTTTCTAGCCTAGTGTTTTTCTATTCTAAATCAGGGTTTTCTGACCTGATATTAATAATAATATCAGTGTTAAGTTTTTAAATTGACCTGAAAGTGGAGCACCATATAAGGAGGGTGGTGACCCATTAATCCACTAACTTAAGGTTTTAAATTGAAAGCGATGTCAATCTATTATATGGTTGGTCTAAGCTCTCTTTAGCCTTCTGTCTCCCCAATGAACCATCTCCCTTAATAAACCTAACAACTAGTATCACAACCAGGTTAGTCTTGGTAACCTGGCTTAGATACCAGTTGTTAGGAACAAAACAATAAATAAAATGACAGAGAAATAAACAACACAAGAATTTAACATGGTTCATTGTATAAATTCCTATGTATTGTACACCTACGTCCACACTACACTAGAATGTGTGTGTGTGTATATATATATATATATATATATATATATATATATACATATTTGGGTGTGTCTTTCAAGCTTTATAAAGGGTTGCTTACCTAAATAGAGAACAACATCTCACAATACTAAGCGATGTGAGACTAAATTAAGCTCCACAATGATAACACATATGTTCAATCCTAGCCTTCCATCATTTGTATTATATGTTAAGTTTATTAAGATTGATATTTAAGGCTTATAAAGACTTCACGTCTTTTCATATTTTCTTTCATATGTACCTATAGTACAAGTAAAAAAGGAACCTACTTAGTAAGAGTTGTTCAACAAATTTTCAAGATATCTTTATAATATGGACTTGTAAAGAACTTATATAAATATTCCTAAAAGAGATTAAATATATAGATAGTTGCCCTGTACTTTGACGTAGAACTCTTAATATACTATAAATAATTAAAAAGATGTGAAAATGTTCTAAACAAAATTATTATAGAAAGCAACATTAACTTCTAACTTTTAATTATATAATAATTAATTGAGTTAAATATGTTTGTAGTCTATAAACTTGGATGTGAAATTAGAATTTGTCACTGTATTAAACTTTGTCACATTTTGGTCCTCAAATTTAAAAATGAATCATATAGTCCTTTTAGCATAACCACACTGAATTTTCTTTACTTTCTTTACAATTTAATCATTTGAGTAGTCTCCATTTTTAGTTGAAAGTTGTAGATCGGTCTCTCATTTTTTTTATCTCAATTGGATATTTCTTTTTGAAAAATTGAAGCAATCAGGTTCTTGTCATTAATACAATATTAACACTGTTAAAGAGGATGTCACATGTTAGTTCGTGATTATTTTGATTTTTTTAAATATATTTTTTAATTATTTTGTATTTATTTTTTAAAAAATAAAAAAATAAAAAAAGGTGTCATGTGTCAAACTGACGTTGTACTACGTGGCAATGATAATGTGACGTGATAGTTGTAGTGCCACATGTCACTATCATGTCACCTGTGATTGTCATGCCAAGTATCATTGCATTAGTTTCAATTTGGTCCTTGTATTTTTATTGTCTCAATTTAAGACTATTTTTTTTAAATTAAATAATTTTGTTCATTCCCAACTTCAAACGAAATTTAACTTGTATATAAATGTTATACAAATATTTTTATTAAAATTGATATTTTTATTAAATATTTTTAACAAAATTAAGTTTTTTTTCTTTTTATTTATATTTAATTAATTATATAAATGTTAATTATTTTATTTAAATATACTTATAAAAGTTTAATTTTCTTTTACTAAAAAATGTCAAACAATATAAACAACTTAAATATTAGTCTAAAATGTCATTTTCCTTTTGATATATCAAGCAAATTTAACTTTTAGTTTAAAGTTTGGAGGCCAAACTTTATCCAAATTAGGATATGGACAAAATTTCAGTTTGACAAGAAAGAATAAAGTTTAAGATTAAAAAATATATTTAACCTTAATTACTTTTTATAATGGTAGAGGCGTATAATAGTAGAGGCGTTACACTTTTGTTAATAACGAAAACAAAAGTAGCAAAAGTTTGATTGAGTTAAGATTACATAATTAATTTCAACAAAACCAAACTACACATAATATTATTTTTGTAGTTTGAGAGTCATTTTGTATTCCAAAACAAAACAATACTAGATTATGAACTAAGGGATATTAATTATAAAAAGTTAAGATAAAATATCATATATATTTTAAAAAGGTATATATAATACTATTCCTACCGTGCCTCGTTTTTAATATTAAAAAGACAATGAAATATAAATTTTAAACAGTTTCTCCTTTCGTCATAAAAGAAGATGAGGGAATAAGGAAAAGTGAGAGTTAAAATATAAATATAAGGTCTCAATCATTTGTGTAAAACTAGAGTAACTTCAACGTGTGTCTATTATTATTAATTAGTCTATTTGTTGGGACCTTTTTCCTTTTCCCTTTTTCCTTTTTTATTTTTCATGTCCAAAAGTAAAAGCTTTTCACCTTCTTGGGATCTTATATTTGGACTCATTCTATATAATTTATTCAAAATATTGTTCATTGATTTTCCCACGGTAAATCTTTGACTCATCCATTCCGTTCTAAGACCAACACGAATCATTTCATTTCTTCTCGGTACCAAGGTTGAGCTGAAGAACTTCAGGCTTCTATAATCATATTTATGTTCTTTATAGCAACCTAGGACTCAGTAAAACAAGACAGTAAATGTATGCATCTTTCCTTAGCCATCTCTTTTTTCAAATGATCAGTAACATATACACACAAAAACAACAAAAGCTAATAGTAAAAGGCAAATTTATAGCATATGCTTACAGAAAAGAAAACAAAAGTAGCAGTGAATGATTCATTTGAAGCTTTTTATTCTTACTCTCAACAATTAGTTACACTTTTAACACTTTCTCCATTGCCCCAGTATAGTGATCTTTAGGACAGAGAATAGCTGTGTTTACATGAATTTCCAAGTCCTCTAAAAGCAGAAAAGTTTTATATGATAAAAGGGTGGTTGAAATGCAGAGAACTACATGGTCTTGATGATATCCCTCTTGAGATAAAGTAATGGCCATTATTGTGATATCATAATGAAGCTATCTATATATGTATGATCATTCCCCTGGCAAATTAGCAGCATTTGAGGAAGCACCAAGTTGATGATGATGTTGTGAGTGAGGTGGGAATGGTGGAGTGTGCAATGGAGAGTCTGAAAAGATAGCACCATGCTGGGTTGGGTCTGATATAATATTAATAAGCGGTGATGGATTGAAGAACTTGGTAGTAGTGGGGATGATGGAACATCTACAAAGTGGACAAGTGGAGTTTGATTTCAGCCAGTGATGTATGCAATCCAAGTGGAACACGTGCTTGCAATAAGGAATCTGCACCACCTCTTCCTTCACCTCAAACTCCCCCAGACAAACACAACACCTGTTTCAAAATAGCCCTCATACCATCTCTTGAAAAACACCATATCATACCTATGTTCAGCTAATTATATGCCAATCCACAATTTTTCTGTTAAATGTTCGTGTCATTGGACTTCATCACTAACTGCATTCTTTTTATTGCATTAAGTCATCTAACATGGAAAACGAGGGGACCAGCACATGGAATCGTACAAGAGTTTCCAAAGTGCTTTCCAGCACTTTATCTACTGAAAATTCCCTCACACAAAATATGAGCAGTTCCTATCGTTAAGATTTTGGTTGCTACCATCTTCTGGGGTTGCACGTGCTCAGTTTTCCTATTTAGTATCACTTTATTAATCTAGGTCTGAAGACATATGCAAGTTATTTTCTTTTCTATGTGGCAGAAGAAAAGGAAAAAAAGGAGAACAGTTTTTCAAATATTCTACTTATCTCTTCCGCTTTCTTTCCATGTACCACTTTTTCATGAAAATCAGTGGATGCCATTAAATATTCTAAATAATCAGTGAACTTGGACATTTTTTTCAGATTTGCAAGAACCACATTCCTTTGAGAATAATTTTAACCATCGCATAATGATAGACAAGCTGAGAGATGAAATTACAAGATGAAACAGCAACACACATCCAAATTGCACACTGAAGAGAATCCCTTGGGTAATGGATAAAGATCAGAGCATTTATTAATCTCATGACTAAGAGAGAGGATAAAGACAGAATTGAAAAAGAAACCAATACATAGAAACAACAGTACATCTAGAAGTTCAAACAAAAAACAAGAAAAAAAAAATACTTACAGGGAATCTCTTGCTTGCAAATCCTCATCAAATAAAACTTTTGGAAGCTTATCAAGGAATTGGAGGGTCAGATCCAATTGACAGGGCTGTGGAATTGGCAATAGAGAGTTTAATATTGGATAATTTAATTGATCATGATCATATATATAGAAAGGATTATGCAGTGCAAGAAGCAAGCAAACACATCTTGTAAAAAACATTATTTAATTTCCTTGCAGAGATGTTTGGTGGTATTATCTAGAGAGTATTTGTTACTTACTGATGAATGATAGGGAGTGGTGGTTGGTGGATTGGCAATGGTCCTTGGAAGAAAATGAGAAGAGGAAGAGAGAGAAGAGGCCCTTCTCTTGAGGTAGAACAAGTAAAACAAGAGAAAGAGAATGATGGAGAAGAGTATAGGAATTGAGAATATGAAGGCTTGGTAAAGCTTAAGCTGTAGCTCCTGTGGATACAGATGTGGAGGAGGGCTGGTTGCAGCAGAAGAAGAAGCAGCAGCAGCAGCTTGTGGAATACTCATGTTTCTCTGCTACTACCTTTATCCCCTGACATGTGTTCAACAGCTACAAATGTGCAAAATGAAAATTTCTAAAGTTGTTGTGTTCAACAAGAATATATACATCAGTTCATCCACCACACACTTGATTGCACTACTTACCAAGAAAGATTGGTGGGGTGGTGCTGATTTTCTATTCCAAGAGAATTTCGTTTCTTTGGTGGATTTCTTTATTTGTCCTTGCAAGTAGTGAGAAGAGGATGTTGAAAAATGTTTAAGTTGGGTGTTGTTTATTATATGAATGTGACTTTTAAGTGATGATAATCTTTAATCCAATTCAAAATGATGTATTTAATAGAGAATCTTGCGTTAATATCTGATGTATGAAAGGCTTTTTTGGACTAACGAGAGTGGGATTTTATTATGAGTTTTTGTTAGATATGATTATAATGATAATGATAATGATAGTGGAAGAGGTACATATTCTATATTTATTTGAATGATGGGACAAGCTCATGACCCTCCACTAAGGTAGGCTCACGCCAAGGATCGTCAGCCCATGGCTCCAAATATCTCTCATTGCATTCTTTCTCAGTCGTTACTAGTGCTAACTTTTTCACCAAAATAATCCAACTGCTTCTGCTAAGTTACTTCTACTGTTAAACTCTCCACACTTCTTCAATTCCATCCAAACCCTCGTTTCATACTCCTCCAAAATTTCTCCTAGATTTTCAAATTAATGAAAAACGGTTATACATCATCTTCTTGACTGTTAAGAAAGTCTCGTACCGACTCTAGACAAAACTAAATTATAATATATAAAAACCTTATCTTATAATCCGATTTCCTAGATTATAATATATAAAAATCTTATGTTACAATCCGTCGTAGTGTTGAATTAAGTTTAGATTCACTTTCTTAACGTTAACTTCTTTTCTAGTCGCGTTCTGTGTAGTTTGTTAAGCTGAGTTTTTTGGGCTCACGTAGTCTGTTACCGCACCTTGTAAATATACAATCATTCATATCATAAGAAGATGAGAAGCTCGTGTTGATCATTCCTCTCTCTTTTTCTTTTATACTGCGATCTTTGTTACATCCCATTAATATACGTGTCAATTCATAAAAAGTTGTAATTAGAATATGTTAGATTTATTTATTTTTATTAAAAATATGTGTTCATCTACAAAAGCTATATATGAACCCTGTTTAAGGATTGTATCTGATCATGAAATGCCTTTTTGAAAGGTTATGTATCTGCACTAAAAAATCATAATATGTTTTATAATATAAAGTTAAAAAATATATATTAGGTTTTTTATCCTCATGATTCTATATTTATTATTGCTCTGACTAATTTCTACACAGATAATAATATTGCATTTACTTAAACTAAATTATTATTTGTATTTAACTTTTATTATTAAGTTCAAGAAATTAAAACAGGATTCTAGAAAAGAAAACATGCAAATTAAATAATATGGAATATTGATAAAAAGATATTATGTAAATCTTTTAAAAGATTTAGGTTTTGTTATTTTAAAAATTAGTTAAATGAAAATAGGAGATATAATCTTGATGGGTTTAAAAATTAAAAGAGATATTACTGTTAGAGAAAATCATAATTAGGTATTGTTAGATATTTTAAGAACTTTTAAGGGATTCCATTAATCTTATCAAGATTATAGAGTTTAACTCACTCATGATTTTGAGTTTAACCCACTCCTGGTTGAGTATTCCCACACCACTCCTGGTCCTTTAGTCAACACGACTAGTCCGAGTATCACGACTCTTTGCTCCTAGTAGAATCCACTCCTAGTTTAGTATTATAGCTACTCCTGGCATCCCTAGACAACACGTCTATTCCAAGTTTAGCCTCTCCAAGATCTATCCCAAGACAACTGTCTAAATTGAGTTTACCCACTCCTAGTTAAGTATTATAGTCACTCTTGGCATCCCTAGAGAATTCTGGTATCCTTTGGATATGCTGCCTAGTTGAGTATCACCCATTCCAGGTTGTAAGTATGTTAGTTCTCTCTAAAACGTACACCAAATCCACTACAGGATACATTACAGAGTACAAATGTGTAACTCTCAATGAGAGGATATGTTTACAGTTTACAATTTGACACTTGTATAGTTACAAACTCAAGTAACTCTCTAAGAGAGGTTGAAAGTATTGAGGCGTAGTCTTGTAACTTGTGATGTCATTCCTTTGAGCTTGAAAGGCATTAGAGGTATATTCTTGACGCTTAATGATGCAATCATATTTTTTATTCTTGCTCCTTTCTTCTTTTCTTCAGCTTCTACTCTTTCTTTCATTTCAAAAGTTTCAGATGTTGTAGGTCTAGAAATGTCGTAGATAGCCAAATGTGATGATAACTTCCTCTTCTTAGAATCTTTTATTGTTCAAACTTGATTTCATCATTTTCTTCTAAGTTGAAGATCATCAGACGATGTATGAGTTGAGTTAGATAAAAGTTGAAATGTTATGAACTTTATTTGTGTGTGCTTTCTTTCTTTTTTTCTCATCTCTTACTTCTTTCCATTTGTTCTTCAACTTCTCATGTCTTCATCATGTTTTTTATTTTAAGAGGATTAGACTATATATGCACTGAGGTGAATATTTTGTAGTCTTCCTTTTCACCTTTTCTCTCTTGTACATCTTTTCCAACAACAACTTTCTCTTGGATTGTTCTTCTTTATATATTACTTTGTGAGATAGTTGTTCGATACTGAGTTGACCATCAAAAGAAACTTGATAGACTTTTTAGTGACTTGGTTAGTCTTTCAGGTGTATATTATAGGATAACTGAGCTTTTTCTCATAGCCCTTCCAGCTTGTATGATGTGACAGGACAAATGGCTTAAGGAAATATTCTCATAATGTTCTTCTTCTCTCACAACGTCTTTTTCTTCATGATTTATATCATATTTTTCTACTTTATTGATCTGCTTTGAATGTTTTTGAACATTGTTAAGCGTTAATCAGTGTAGCATGTTCAAGACACTTTGTCACTTGTCATTTCACTAATAAATGCATCGTTTGTGTATATTAGTAGGTGTAATCATAATATGTTTTTCTTCAAGACTAAAATGTGTAGTGGTCACTTATGAGACGATATTCTTTATGGAAGGCTTCGCTTGGTATAACACTTTTTGGATTGAAGCATCTCATTAATTCTAAGTGTTATATAGGAATTTGAACTTTCACCTTTATACTTACTTTTGCTCACATAATCTATTGAGAGATTTCAAAGAGAGATACTTATTCTTAGACATTGTTTATGATTTTCTAATTCACTTAGATAGTTTGGTCTAGAAAGCATTGATTTAGCATGCATAACGGTATGTGATGCCTGAATGCATGCATGACTTTTTGGTGGATTTTCCCTCATGATTTAGGGTTGTTGCATGTATGTTTGAACACTTTAATTCTGTTGAGGATGTGTTTCGATTCGGCAATAATCGATTATCATTAGTTATAATCAATTATTTCCGCATTGCTTGTGAGTTGAGTTTCGGTAATAATCGATTCTCTAGGATGATAATCGATTATCCTTTCATTTGTGATGAATTTTGGTGATTTGTTGAGTGGAAACACCGAGATAATCTATTATCATTAGTGATAATCGATTATCACAATATATTTTGTAGACATGTGTGTGTTTTGGGTATGATAATAGATTATCCTAGAGTATTTTTGCTGGAAATAATCTGTTTTGATGAAGATTGGACGTCTATTTCGAGATTAGTCTCTCCAAGATCTATCCCTAGACAACTGTCTAAATCGAGTTTATGCACTCTTGGTTAAGTATTATAGCCACTCTTGGCATCCCTAGACAATTTTGGTATCCTTTGGATATGTTGTCTAGTTGAGTATCACTTATTCCTGATTGCAAGTGTGTTAGTTCTCTCTAGAAGGTACAACAAATCTATTAAGGGATACATTACAAGGTACAAATGTTTAACTCTCATTGAGAGAACATGTTTACTGTTTACAATTTGACACCTATGTAGTTACAAACTCAAGTAACTCTCTAGAGAGGATGAAAGTATTAAGGCATAGGCTTGTAACTTGTGATGTCGTTCCTTTGAGCTTAAAGGGCATCAGAGGTGTATTCTTGACGCGTAATGATGCAGTCATATTTCTGATGCTTGCTCCTTTCTTCTTTTCTTCAACTTCTACTCTTTTTTTCATTTCAAAAGCTTCAAATGTTGTAGGTCTATAAATGTCGTAGATAGACAAATGTGATGATAACTTCCTCTTCATAGCATCTTCTATTGTTCAAACTTGATTTCATCATTTTCTTTTAAGTTGAAGATCATCAGACGATGTATGAGTTGAGATAGATAAAAGTTGAAATGTTATGAACTTTATTTGTGTGTGCTCTGTTTCTTTCTTTCTCATCTCCACTTCTTTCCATTTGTTCTTCAACTTCTCATGTCTTCATCATGTTTTTTATTTTAAGAGGATTAGACTATATATGCACTAAGGTGAATATTTTTTAGTCTTCCTTTTCACCTTTTCTCTCTTCTACATCTTTTCCAACAACAACTTTCTCTTGGATTGTTCTTCTTTATATATTACTTTGTGAGATAGTCATTGGATATTGAGTTGACCATCAGGAGAAACTTTATAGTCTTTTCAGTGGCTTGGTTAGTCTCAGGTGTATATTGTAGGATAGCATAGCTTTTTCTCAGTCATTCAAGCTTATATGATGTGACAGGACAAATGGCTTAAGGAAACATTCACATAATGTTCTTCTTCTTTCACAATGTCTTTTTCTTCGTGATTTTTATCATATCTTTTTTCTTTATTGATCTGCTTTGAATGTTTTTGAATGTTGGTAAGCGTTAATCAGTGTAGTGTGTTCAAGACACTTTCTCACTTGTCATTTCACTAATAAATGCATCGTTTGTGTATATTCGTAGGTGTAATGATGTTTTTCTTCAAGACTAAAACGTGTAGTGGTCACTTATTAGACGATATTCTTTATGGAAGGCTTCACTTGATATAACACTTTTTTGGATTGAAGCATCTCCTTAATTCTTAGTGTTATATAGGAATTTGAACTTTCACCTTTATACCAGACTAGCTTATTTTTGCTTACATAATCTATTGAGAGATTTCAAAGAGAGATACTTATTCTTAGACATTGTTTATGATTTTCTAATTCACTTAGACAGTTTGGTCTAGAAAGCATTTCTTTAGCTCTTAGCTTTAGAAGTTATAATATGCTTCTTGACTAGATGTTAGTCTGATGAGAGCGTTTGTGTTTTTGTATAATGAGATAACTATTGATATGTTTTATTCTATTTATAGTTTCTATAGC